CAAGAAGTTTCCCCCACAGTCAAAAGACATGCGCTTTAGGTGAATTGAATAAACTAAATTGGTGTATGAGTGTGTTTCCTAGTACTGGAAGGGCAGCCGCTGTGTAATATGCTGGATAAGTTGGCGGTTCATTCCACTGTGGCAACCCCTGATAAATACAGGGATTAAGCCAAAGGAAAATTAATGATTGAATATCAAAACACCCAACAAAAAAAAAATTGTAAATGAATTTTTTTCACATTATATCTGTTGATATTGATCTGAAACTTTAAATAGCTACTGTGGAAATATTGTTTTTATATAATTTCTTAGTAATACTATTTATTATCAATCCCAGAAGAGAAATGACATCTGTATTTATCTGCAGTGTATGGCCAGAGGGAGATGAAGAGAGAGAAAGATTCTTAAAGAGCAAAATTCTGGCAATCTTTTTTTGGCACACAGAAAAGGTTAACCAAAGAGAACAAGACAGCTGTGAGGAAGAAAAGATGGTGTGAGGCCAGTGTCTAGACAGAAAAAAAAGATCACAGCTGAAGGAAAGGTTAAACAAAGGAAAAAGACACATCTATGTAATCTGTGGATTAGTTCACATTTATCCTGTAAATAGTATTGGGAAAAGTTGCTATTAAAAGTTATGTATTGCAATAAGTGTAGTGTAAGTTATTTCTAAAATTAAATATATCATGGATTACTTGTTAATGTTATATAAAAGCAATCCCTTATGCTTTACAATATTAGTCTAGAATTGTAATGCAGTGCACCAGGCTAATTTTTGAGTTACTTTGACTAAAAGCTACAGAAGTAGAACTTAGTGGCAAAATATATCAATTTTTGTAATAAAAATACATTTTAAAAAACAGACTTGAACAAAAACGCGTTATATATTTGGCAGCCAAAGATATTATTCTGACATCAATAGAACTATTTTGTTTATTTGACAAATAGATAAATAATGTTATAGTTGATTTATTGCATCATTGTTAAAATTATTAATTTCATTCTTTAAAAAAATAAGCCAACATATGCTCTTGAAGGGGTCTTACTGTATGCTTACTGTAAAAAAAGGGGTCTTACTGTATGCTTTTTTTTGATTAACTAAATTTTAGACAAAACTGTTTTGCAATTTGCGCAATAAAGGTTCAAGACACCCTGGAGTACTTTTTTTTTTTTTTTTTGAGGTTTTAACTGATTTGTGTGTGTTGAGCATCAAGTTAGACAAATTAAGTACCTATTAGCTTTAATTGTGGGGAAAACTGGATAACTTTGAGCTTTTGTCAGCTAATCTTCTGATTAAAATAATTTTTGTGGTGGGATCAAAATCGGTGACGTAATGCAAATCTGCTAGTGGAGTGATGACGGTTTCTCATTATTATTCATAGAGGAGTTTTCTTATCCTACCTCCATGAGAAGCCCCTGCTGCTTAATTATTCATGAGAGCACATGCTTTCCAGAGGCAAGGCAAACCTGCCAAGCTGTGAAACCCAATGACTGGGTGAGACAGCGTAAGCACACATACAGTATGTGTTTGTTTCCATGATCCACGGGTTTGTTGCATGTTTTTCCCTGCGATTCTGTCAGGGCCGATATAGCTAAGCTGTTGGTTTGAAGCAAGCATTTTTGTCGGGAGAGCTGTACGAGAGTTGGAGAATGGCGAACTTTGTCTTTTATCAGTTAAGTTCGTTACCATTCAGACTCATTGCCTATGTCCGTACTGCTTTGTTCGCCTATTTTTAAAATCCTCCAGATTACTGGCAAGGCTAATGGTTGAAATAGATAGGGGACTTGCTGCACTGCTACCCACTCTGTCTGCATTCAGACCCGGGGATTTAGGAGGAGAGAAGTCCTAATCCCAAATGATGTTTAGCAGAGCAAGGAAATTTTCACAGTATGTCTGATTATATTTTTTCTTCTGGAGAAAGTCTTATTCGTTGTAATTCGGCTAGAATAAAAGCAGTGTTATACCATTGTTATACAATAACTTGCCTAATTACCCCAACCTGCCTAGTTAACCTAATTAACCTAGTTAAGCCTTTAAATGTCACATTAAGCTGTATAGAAGTGTCTTGAAACACATCTAGTCAAATATTATTTACTGTCATAATGGCAAAGATAAGATGACTCTGTAATTAGAAATGAGTTATTAAAACTATTATGTTTAGAAATGTGATGAAAAAATCTTCTCTCTATTAAACAGAAATTGGCAGGAAAAAAACAGACAAGGGGGGCTAATAATTCTGACTTTAACTGTATATGAAATTACAAATACCAGCTGTAGCAGAACATTAAATCACTATTTATTTCTTTGCATTTTAACTTTGTAAACTATGTGCTGAGTAAAATATTTCTGAAAATTAATGTGTTACGGAACTGCTTTGCATTAAAAAAAAAACTTAGTTATTACATTACATTTCTAATGCATTCCCACCAACATTAAATTACTTTTTTAATTTGGGCTGAGCTTTCTACTTTGTAATGTACACTTCTAACATTTAAAAAATATAAGGCCATTTTGCACCAAAAGTGAAATGTTAATTGATCTGGATTCATAAAAAGAAAATTCAACACTCTTCATCAATGAATATTTTGCAAAAGCATTTCCGTTTTTATTCATTTTAAGGTGATACTGACTACTAATACAAAATATGTTTTGATATATCAGCTAGAATTGCTGTAAGCATCATCTCTACATGTATTGTGCACAACACATCTGCACTTACAATTGCTTTCTCTCAACATCAGGACAGGAGAGCTGTCAGTTGACACATAAGAAAACAAAGTAAGTTTATTACTTTTTTTAAAAAAAGTAACTCATGTTTTTATATGAGAAAAGACTGCATTACTTTATTAGTTACATTAAAAACGTCACTAACTACTGATTACATAACTCCCATTACTTGGAATGTATTACCCCAACGTTGCCTGTAAAATGTCCATCTGGTGACAGAAATTTTACTACTAGGCATCTGGAAGATATGGTCAACTAGAGATGAAACCTGCAGCATTGCACCCTTAAGAACACTTAAACACTCACAGAAATTTACTAATGTCTTCCAGGACCCAACGACTCTTGTTAAACTTACTGTGAGGGGGAAGAAACTCTGAAGGTCTTCAACAGACAGCGAGACGTCAGAGCTGTTGACAGCATACTAACACAATGTGCTGAGGCATATTGAAAAAAGAAAAGATCCTCCATAATAGAGAGAGAGGATGAACGACAGGCTAGTTTCATGCCCTGACCCATATCCCATAATGCCGAGCACAGATGGAGTTTGACAGAGGCAGACCTTAGGTTGTCGTCCCTTTTTTTTATGTCTACAACAGTCACCAAGGCCACAGAGAAAGATTGGCAGTTAGTGTTTGTAGGGCGACAAGACGTCACATGTAAACACGAACTGAGGCGGATGTATAACTTGATGATGAGATGGTAATGAGTGCTGTTTAAGGGCTCAGGGTGTCTGATGATCTTTGGACAATCGTTAATTACTTCTGAACCAGTTCAAAAAGTTGGTAAAGTTGGTGCTGCTGTCATCATTTAATGCTAAATTAAAAACGCCGTTTTTAATGCTAAATCTACACTGTTAAGAATATACGGTAGAATCTACAGTAAATCAATTACAGCAAAAATACTGCATTTACATTTACAGTGCCATTTGTTTAAACGTACATGTAAAGCGTCTGCTAAATGACTAAATGTAAATGTAAATGTACTTACAGTATTGCATATCTGTACTGTAAAATATACCGGTACAGCAATTTTTAAAATTTAAATTCTTAAAGGTTTTAATATGTTGATTATTATTGACTCATATCATATTTGCATCAAATTACCAAAAAAAAAAAAAAACAACTAGTCAACTCTTAAGCAAGGTTTTACTAATGCAGCGTCTTTGAGCTGGACAGTAAATTTGACATTGTTCTCTTTTCTGGCTGCTTTCAGTCTAAAACTATATATATATAATGTTTAATGTAAAGCGAAAGCATAATGACATAATGTTTAACAAAAAGACATAAAGCGAAAGCATATTAAAGCTAAAATTTAAAAACATCACTGGTAGCTCTTTAGAACAAGGGTCCATTGATTAATGTTATTTAATGTATTTACTAACATTAGCTACGTATAAATAGTCTTGTAAAGCATTTTTTAATCATGATTTAACATTTACTAATGCAATATTAAAATCCAAAGTTGCGCTTGTTAACATTAGTTAATGAAATGTGAGTTAACATGAACTAACATTTTATTACTTGAATAATAATGAATAATTACAGTAATAAATGTATTACTAATTGTTCATGTTAGTAAACACATTAACTAATGGATTATTATTTTAAAGTGTTACCAAATCATTCCACAATACTCACTAACATGTTCTCCATTTTTCTGTCTTTCAACAATGTCAGCTGATGCTCGTCTTTATCTATGTAAGATTTTGGGTTCAGATGAGGTCTGCATCGCTCTGTCCGAGGTTGTCACGACATAAGGAGGGGGCTTCTCAAATCTGTACCGCTCCCATAGAGACACTTTGCCCCGGGCCATTTGTCAATACCGCTAAAGTCAACATGTCGCTCAAGACGTTTCTCACCAACCATCCCGTCGGTCAACATGCCACACCAAAATAGACACACTCTCATCCACAGCACAAAAGCCATTTGAATGAGCCGCCCCGGTGTCACACAAAACGCACATGCCTCAAGCTAACATCCCACTTCTGGAAACCCTGGCTAAGGTGTAAAGAGATTTCTCCGTTTCTCTTTAATGTGTCTCACTGATTCTGAAAGCTCATTTTACTGGGGTCAGTAATTTCAGGAGGTTTCTGCTGAAACTGTCAAATGTTTTTTGGGGGGAGGAGGGGTATTGGGGTGTACTAAAAAGAAATCCTCATTCTTCATAAGGTGCTGAAAGAAGAAATATTTAGAGTCATTCATCATTAATTTCCTATACAGCAAGTTTCTGAATGTCCATGCTGATGTTTAAAATCTTTGTCTCTTGGATTTCGCAGTGCTGTTCAACTTGATTCCTGTGGGCTTGAGGATAGTCGCCATCCAGAGCACCAAGACTGGACTCTATATAGGCATGAACAGCGAGGGCTACCTCTACACATCAGTAAGTCTACAACACATCATGTTCATAAACTTCAACGGGTTACAAATCTTTCCTGAGCTGTGTCAGAGACAGACTCATCTAAATCTCTGAGAACCAGGAGTTAAAAATGCTTTTAATGCATTTATTGATATTTTTAAAAAGTAATACAGGAGCTGTTATGAGTACAAGTTGATGGAAAATAGGGATAGGAAATTATTCAAAATTAAAACTGAAATGTGAGTGAAGGCTGCGACTGTCATTCACATTTTATCAAGGTAGCACGGTTCTGTGATCTGTACTATATCTCCTCTAAAGGCCAGAGGGCACTTTCATGAAAACTGCAAATACATAATGAAGAAGAAACACAGAAAATTACCAATTCAGTATGACTTATAATCACACCACTACAGAATCATCTCACTGAAGGATTTATTTCAAACACTCGACTGAAGTTATGATGTGAGTTTGGAGTAAATCTTGTTATTAAATGTGTTCTTTAATTTGCAGCATTTACTACACAGAGCCATAAAAGCTACGAAAGCTGCAGTCGTTATTGCCGGACAGTATCTTAATGTCAATATCATCTGAATAAATCGATTTCGGTTTTAAATATTTTGCATAGTCAGTGTGCTACGACTCTGTGTAGTAAATGCTACTTTGCGCTGGTGGTCAGAAGCGCTCCCCCTCAGCACAGTGGAGATTTCTTCAGTTATATCGTTTGGGATGCGGTAACACGCAGTCAGATATTTAATCGAACAGATCAGCCACTTTTGACGCTCATAAACAATCATAAAACCCTTGTGCAGCAGGAATTAGGAGGTTGGCTGAAGGTGCGCAGCTGTCATGCAGTGAAGGGTTTGCGTCTTTAATAAACTATGTCAGTTTGCGTTCACTGAACAGTAAGAATGATTAATAAATCCATATTAAACCATCCCTTAAAAGTCACGTCTCACTTTCAGTTTCGTGCTTTGGTGCGGTTTGCACTCACACACAAGCGTATCGCGCCAAAGCCCAAGTGAACTGCGTTCAGGCACACCTCTTTCAACTGGACCAGGGCTGGCCAAGTGAACCATGCCTGAGCCTGATTCAGAGCACTCACACTTCTCAAACAAATCGGGAAACGGGCCTGGGCACGGTTCGGATAGCATAGTGTGAGTAGGTGCTTAGTTTATTTAATTCACCTATAGCGCATATCTTTGGACTGTGAGGGAAACCGGATTACCTGGAGGAAACCCACGCCAACACTGGGAGAACATGCAAACTCCACACAGAAATGCCAACTGACCCAGCTGGGACTCGAACTAGCAAACATCTTGCTGTGAAGCAACAGTGCTAACCACTAAGCCACCGTGATGCACAAAGTTTTTTTTTTTTTCTCAAATCTTACCCATTCTGTGAAAATTTAATTTACTCTTAAAAGTTTTACATTCCCTTTAGAAACCCCTCTGAAACTTTGTTTTTGGTTGCAAAATGTTTTGTCTCCTGAGAAAAATTGCATTAGCTTGCAAGGTTTGTTTGCTTAGGGAAAAAAAACTTTTGCATTCTCCAAAAAACAATGTGTTCCACAGACATATTTCTAATGGTCCAATGGTTTGCAAAATGTTTGCTTATACCCAAGAATCTGTATCCCTCAGAAACTACACTCACCGCAACCCTTTTTCTTTCTCCAAACTTTGCATTGCTTGTGAAACTTTTGTGATAGAAATATATTTAAGTAGCTTTGTGATCAAGTTTTTCAGAGAAACACAACACTGTTGCAAAAGAATGTTTTTTGGGGGTAACATAATAGTTTTGCTGGAAACCAGTGTTATTTTTGTCAAAGAAAATTGCTTGACAAACAGAAACTTGACAGGTCTTTTTTCTCTTTCAGTTCTTTTTTAATCACCAATGTCTCCTTAAGGGCTTTGTACAAAATAGAGAATCTACACAAGAATTTTAGTAAAAAGTTTAATTGAAAAATGAACAGGAAACATGCTTTATGACCAGCATATGCCACAGTTGTGTCCTGTCTGTCATTAGCAAGTGCATCGCATTACTTTTTCATCAATTTACAAGTAATAAAGTTTATTGTACCTATGTGGGTTCTCAGTTTCACTTGTCCTTGAACACATTTGGCCAAATCTCATTTTATTAAATGTGAAGTGCTGTGCAAAAGCTAAACTATAAGACTGAACTGACTTTGACTACAGTAAACGGCAAATGCTAGACTAACACTTATAAAACATTCATAAAACATTAGCATTTACAGACACAGAGTTCCTCGAGTACAGAAAATGCTGTAATAATCACTACTTCTTTTTTACCCTTGCATTGCAAACAAGCAGAGAAAGTACAAACTTAGAATTATTAACAAGCTCTTCTAAATACTTTACATAAGGTAATTTTTTTTGTAAAATCCATAAACAAACATAAAGTGTAATCAACAGCACGGATTTATGAAACAAACAAAATTAAAAAGAGATACAAAAATGTAGTTTGATTAAGCACAAGATACTACTAATCAGGCAACGCCATACACTTGTCCTCAGACAGTGTGTGTGTGTGTGTGTGCGTGTGTGCGTGTGTGCGTGCGTGTGCGTGTGCGTGTGCTTGTGCGTGTGCGTGTTTGTGTGTGTGTGTGTGTGTGTGTGAATACTGCTAGCCTCAGTTTTCTGAGACACACTCCATTAGTCTGGCCTATTTCTCTCTACCAGTTAAACTGCTGTGAGTAAGACATGCTTCTGCAAGAGATGCATTGCTTTGCCATGTAGAGAAATGGTTCTTCTCTCTGCTGTCTCTATCCACCCTATCTTATTTGGAGAAAAAAAAGTCCTCTTTGAAAAAAGGTTGCGATGAGTCTGAAAAAAGTATACAGGCCTAGAAAACATAAAATGCACTTAAGGTCCTTAAATCAGAATACATTTTTGGGGTTGGGGTCCACACAAAGTTGGGGTCCACACAATTCTTTCATGTTGTCCCAAGCAGGCATGGGACAATAACCATTTTCAAGGTATACCACAGTTTGGAAAAGTCAAGGTTTTAATACTGCCAAAATTTTGTGCTATACCATTCCTACGTATGTAGGTATCTATACACAATATGTGTAAGATTTTTTATTTTCATTTTTCAAGTTTTTTAGGACAACAGTATCTCCAGCAGAAAAGATTTCCAAGATGGTGTTTTAAAATGTTATAAAATCTGTGTTTTTGAAACTAATGAAGACAACAGAAGCCAAAGATTGATTTGAATCATTTAGCCTGACATGTTTACTGCTCCAAAATATTTTAAATGTTTCTCAAAATAAAATACAGTGTGTTCAAAGGAGGAAAAAGAGACATTTTACCCAGACATTTAAAAAGAATATATTTTAGAGCAGTGATCACAATACCGTCAAACCCTGCCATTTTTATCCAAGGTTATCATACCGTCAGAATCCTATATCGGCCCATAGTCCCAACACAAATTGATTAAGTTAGCTTATTTTTTTACAAATTTAAGTTGATTGAACATAAAAAAATTAAGTTATCCTCCAAAACAATCCCAAGAATTGTGTTGATTCAACTCAAAATAAATAAGTAGGTTAAATGTTTTTGAGCTCCAAAACAGTGACAATATTCACATAAAAAGGATATAAAAAACTTTTTCTGCCATCTGATACTTACATTTCTTATCAAATATTTTGACCAATCAACTGATCTCTAGTATCTGACATGTCCTGCCTTCTTCAACACTCTGAAACAGTTATTTTTGCTGCTTGTTCTAGCAACTTTAAAGTAAATAAGTTGAAATAACAAAATTCCTAAATTAAATTTGTAAAAATTATTAAGTTTACTAAATTTATTTATGTTGAGATTACATTAAGGAATTGTGTCGAACCCAGCAGTTTTTACAGTGCACTGTAACAATGCAGGGTTCTACATAATTAATTCAGGTTTATGCTCATGTTACATAAGTAGTTTGAACAAGCAGCAAAATAGTTTTTTTGAGTGAAGAAGCTATTGCTATATGCTTGAGCTCAACAGAGTTATGATAAAAATGAAATGCTATTGGCTGCTTAAAGGGGGAGGAGCTACTATATGCCCCGCCCCTTTAAAGCACTTCAGAGGACCTTTAAAAATGTGTTACCTGCATTGCCGAAATCCAAAAATTCAAACCTTTTTGTTGATTATCCTACAATGAAATTTGTGCTTTACTTCTCTTATTTGTTTTGCATAATCCAGTCTTTCTCATTTACATATTCTTATGTGCATCACAAGTATCCAGATAATATTTCTACACTGTAAAACACTCAACTTTATCAAATGAAATGAGTTAGCTGAATTTACTGAAGGTTAATTCTACTCATTTGAAAAGAGTTTTGAACTCAGTGTTGAAGGTAATGAATTAATTAAATACCTCATTACTTCAACTTAAATGGAGTAAGTTCACTGTACTCATTTAGATTAGTTAACTCAGATGGTTTGTTGCAATCGGTTTCCTCAAATGGTTTGAGTTGTCTTAACTTATTGATTTTTGAAGTATACTCAGTTGGTTTGAGTCCTCTTTGTTTATTGGGTTTTACTGTGCTTAAATTGCTTTGTTTACTCCCATGGATTAAGTTAACAGTACTCATTAGGATTGGTTTTTAAACTTAAATGGTTTGTTGTAATCGGTTTCCTCAAACAGTTTGAGTTACCTTAACATTTTTGTTTTTACAGTGTATAAAAACCCAGTGCAAAAATGGTACTTCATTCCACTGTGGCGACACCTGATGAATAAAAGGACAAACCAAGGGAAAATCAATTAATGAATGTGCAAAAAAATATTTATATGCAGCTTTTTAAAATGACTTTTGTTGTAGCAATTAAAAAGCCGTCATAAATCAGATGGCATCATATTAGTTATATAATAAAACTCAGTCGTGAACTCAATATGTGACTTTATTTTTTTTTACAATTCTTCTCCTACAATTTGATAAAGGAAACAAATGGCCTTTCTGTCTGTTTTTATCTGCTAGTGCAAGGAGAGCATCTGTAGAGAACGAGTCTCCTCATGGGAAGAAA